CAAATCTTGGCTGTAGGACTGTTCAATCTTGCGTTTTGCACTAGGTAGGTAGGCGGTGATATCCCGATACTTACCTTGATGTTCCGCTGTTCAAACCTTGGCTGTAGGACCGTTCATTCTTGTGTTTTGCACTAGATTGGTAGGCGGTAGTATCGCGACACTTACCTTGATGCTCCGCTGCTCATACGTTGGCTGCAAACTTGATAAAACTTGTGTTTTGCACTAGATTGGTAGGCGGTAGTATCCCGACACTTACCTTCATGCTCCACTACTCATTCATTGGCTGCAGACTTGATAAAACTTGTCTTTTGTGCTTGATTGGTAGGCGGTAGTATCCCGACACTTACCTTGATGCTCCGCTGCTCATACATTGGCTGTAGACTTGATAAAACTTGTCTTTTGTGCTTGATTGATAGGCGGTGATTTCCCGACACTTACGTTGATGATCCGCTGCTGTTCACTTGTGATTGTGCTGACCACACTCATGCTTTTCACTCATGTACTGGGTGGTTGTGTTCGATTCACCTATGAGTGTTGTGATGCTCTTCACTTGTGATTGTGTTGTCCACACTCATGCTTTTCACTCATGTACTAGGTAGTTGTGTTCCGATTCACCTTTGAGTGTTGTAATGCTGTTCACTTGTGATTTGTGCTGTTCACACTCGTACTTTCCACTCATGTACTAGGTAGTTGTGTTCCGATTCATCCATGAGTGTTGTGAGGCTGTCCACTTGTGATTTGTACTGTTCACACCCGTGCTTGTCGCTCACGTACTAGGTAGTTGTGCTCCGATCCTTCTTTGAATGATGTGATGTCGTTCCCCCTTCGATCTTGGCTACCCACGCTTGTGCTGTTCATCTGCATGATAGGTAATAGTGCCCCGATTCTTTAAAGTCTTCAACTTTCCGAGAAGACGGTACTTGCTGCAAATTCTGTATTTTCCAGCAATTTCTAAATTTCCTGCAAAGATCTGTGTTTGCTGCAAGATGGGGTATTTGCGACCTCGGTGATTCCCTACAGGGTATGGGTTAGTGACATCGGTGTGTCTACGGAAGGGATAGTGCTGGGGAAGTACGCTGCAGATAGGCAAAACTCCCGGACGTATGGGCAACTAGAACGGCACCACACCCCGCCTCTTCTTCCACCTTCATCTTCCACACCCATCCACCATAGCCAGCCGCCTCACGTCTTCTTCCACCATCATCTTCCACACCCATCCACCTTGCCCAGATGTCCAAAGGACAACCCAGAGCACCTTCCACCTCCATCCTCCTTCATCTCCCACACCCGTCCGCCATAGCAAAGCACCTTCCACCTTCTCCCTCCTCCATCTCCGTCACCCATCCACCATAGCCGAGCACCTTCCACCTTCTCCCTCCTCCATCTCCTTCACCCATCCACCATAGCCAAGCACCTTCCACCTTCTTCCTCCTCCATCTCCTTCACCCATCCACCATAGCCAAGCACCTTCCACCTTCTTCCTCCTCCATCTCCTTCACCCATCCACCATGGCCAAGCACCTTCCACCTTTTTCCTCCTCCGTCTCCTTCACCTATCCACCATAGCAAAGCACCTTCCACCTTCTTCCCCTTCGTCTCCTTCACCCATCCACCATAGCCAAACACCTTCCACCTTCTCCCTCCTCCTTCTCCATTCACCCATCCACCATAGCCAAGCACCTTCCACCTTCCCCCTCCTCCATCTCCATTCACCATCCACCATAGCCAAGCACCTTCCACCTTCTCCCTCCTCCATCTCCTTCACCCATCCACCATAGCCAAGCACCTTCCACCTTCTTCCTCCTCCGTCTCCTTCACCCATCCACCATAGCCACGCACCTTCCACCTTCTTCCTCCTCCATCTCCTTCACCCATCCACCATAGCCAAGCACCTTCCACCTTCTTCCTCCTCCGTCTCCTTCACCCATCCACCATAAGCCAAGCACCTTCCCCCTTCTTCTTCCTCCATCTCCTTCACCCATCCACCATAGCTGGACACCCTGCACCTTCTCCCTCCTTCATCCCCCGCACCCATCCTCCATAGCCAAGCACCTTGTGCCTTCTCCCTCCCCCGTCCCCTTTTGGTACTCGTATAGCGTGCGCAAGTAGGGCGACTAAGGGGCATGGGGCGTCTTGGGTAGGGTAGGCGGGCGATTAAGTAGTAAGTTTGATTAGGCCTAAGGGTCTCTTTCTCTCCTCCCTCTCTCTCTCTCTCTCTCTCTCTCTCTCTCTCTCTCTCTCTCTCTCTCTCTCTCTCTCTCTCTCCCCCTCTTTCTCTTTCGTCCCTTGTATCTTCTCGTCGTCCGCCGCTTCTCCTTCCACCGACGTCCCCTTTCCCCCGCACCCCAAGCAACCTTACCCTTTCCCTCTCCGCCTTCCTCTTGACATATGCCTAACCTACCCTCACTTTTTACATTGCCAGGGGATGAACGGAGAAAAGGGGCAGCCTCACTTAGTGGAGAAAGAGGGCAAGGGGGGGCCAGCCGGTCCCTTGCGCCACCAAGAAGGAGCAAAGTGAAAGACTTGTGAACTTGGAAAAAGTGGAATCATTGAAAAGAAAAGTGAAGACAAGTGCGAGTTTGGGCAAAGGTCAGTTGACTCAACAATCTCCTCAGATTGCATGACTAAGGAAGTGAGCGTGGCCTGACTGCGGGAACAAGAAGAAAGAAGGGACCAAGGCAAAGAAAAGAACTTAGGCTTGCATGAGGGGCGGTGCGTTGACCCCAATGGGGGATGGATGTTGTTTCTTGCATGTGTGGGGCCTTGGGATGACTTGAGCGGTATCGGGGCGAAAATATGCCGCGGGCGGAAATTGGAAGAGGAGCTCGACATTGTATGATGAGAATGTGCTTTGGATTGTTGCATGCTATATGGCCGCCCGGAGAAACTAAGGGCTCGGAATGAGAACGTTGAATGAAAACTGTTTAGGCCGATAGAAGAAATGGTAGTGGCTAGGGGGAGAGTGGTGTGGCCTCGCCCCGATGACGCCGTAGGACAATAGGGACGTTAGTGAAAAGGTGCGTGCCCTAAGGAGAACGCTTAGCCTACGCCCGGAAAGAAGAGAAAACCTCAACGAACCCCCTGGACTGCATGTGTACCGGAAGGAGCAATTGGCTGCGAACACAAAAGGGGATCAAGAACTTACGCCTGCGAAGCTTTATCAGCGAGGCTACCACCCAATGCAAGGGCTGAGTTGCATCCCCAATCTTAAGCTCTTTCGCCCTATTGGCCCATCCCCATCCATACCAAAGCAGTAGGTGGGGGTGGCCCTGGGACAAATGACCCGCGCCCAGAGCTTGAGCGTGGGCGGGTCGAGCCGAGCGGGGCCCGCAGTGGGGTCAACAGAGGCTCGAAAGTCTATCGGGGTTCGGCCCGACACCGTACCGTGTTTTGAACGCGGATTTGTAGCAATCTTGCGGGCGTATCGAGATTTGATGGTAGCCCGACTTCAAGTCCAACTTTGAGAAGAATTTTGCACCGCCTAAACGCTCGAGAAGGTCGTCAATCCGCGGAAGAGGTCCCGCATTCTTGACAGTTTGTGCGTTGAGCTTGCGGCAGTCGATGCACAAGCGAAGATCCTTGTTCTTCTTCCGTACGACGAGAACTGGCGCACCGTATGGTGAGCTACTAAGGCGGATCCAGCCCTTGTCCAACAGATCATCGAGTTACGCGCGGAGAACAACGAGCTCTTCCTTGCTCATGCGATAGATGCATCCTTTCGGTGGAACGACACTGGCCTCAAGAATGATCTCGTGGGAGATCGGGCGATCCGGCAGGTAGGAGAGTCGAAGATGTCGGTGAACTCGTTGAGCAACCGCACCACTCGGGGGTCTGAAGGCAAGTCCGTGGGTGAAGATTCGGTCGTCGTGGCGGCTCGTGGAAAACATAGGCCTATGTCGTCGGTCCGCTCGTAAGTGCAAGTGGCCCGAAAAGACTTGGCCGTTACAACTTGGCACCGGATCGAGGAGTGAAGAAGAGGAATGGTACACGGTACTTCGGCGTCGAAGGCGTCGTGAACGGTAAGTGTCCGCTGATGGAAGTTAACCGTGTGATCCGCACTTGCAAGCCAAGGCATCCCCAAAATGATGTCGAAGTCTGTGTCCAAGACGTCAAATGTCACTGGTTTGCATGCATGAGGCGCGAAATAAACCGGCACGACTTCAATGTAGCGACACCACAGAAGTCCGCTCTTTCATGAGATTGGCCGGGTACTACCAACGCTTCATCGGAGGATACGCACGGATCGCCGCGCCCTTGTCAAGATTGCAGTCTCCAAAGGTGCCCTTCCAGTTCACCGACGAAGTCCGCAGTTCATTCCACAAATCGAAGACGACGTTGCTCCTCGCTCCCGTCTTGAGTACCTACGATCCCACCTTGCCTACGAGAGTGCCTACGGACGCTTCTGGCCGCGACATGGGTGCAGTTTTGGAACAACACAACGGAGTAGATTGGCATCCGGTTGAGTACTTCGGTCAAAAGGTGCCCCCCATCAACTTGGTTGATGATGGGCGGAAGGAGTTGCTTGCGTTCGTCACGGTACGCGAGTGTTGGCGACACTTCCTCCTCGACCTACTACAAGACGCCAGACACGGTGAGCAGCACTATCGCTCGATGGATGTACTTCATCGATCAGTTCGACTTTACAGCGAAACACATTTCGGGCCTCTCCAACCGAGCCGCGGATGCTCTCTCACGAAGATCAGATCTTTGTGCATTGACTCACCTTCAGTTTGGACGACGCCCTTCATCAGCATTTTGTGCAAGCATATAAGTCCGATCCGTAATACGCCACGCTCTACGAGCAACTATCCTCGGATCACCCGCCAGCCAGCCATTATCGCATCGTCGACGACTACTTGCTTCTTCACTAAAGAGGCAACACTAACTATGCGTCCCACACGACTGTCGCTTACGGACTTACCTCCTCGATGAGTACCACGACTCGAGACTCGCCGACCACTTTGGAGTCAACCGTACGATCGCACGACTTCGGCAACGATTTCGGTGGCCCGACCTCATTACCGACGTCACCCGGTATTGCGACTCTTGTGAAGTTTGCCGATGAAGCAAACCCCGCAATTGCAACCCCTTTGTTGAGTTACACCCGTTGTCGATCCCGCGGGAACCCGGCCTACATTGCTATGGACGTTACCGACCCGTTCCCGTTCCCCTGTGACCGCTTTGGGCACGACGGCATTCTCACGGTCATTGACCGTTTGAGCAAGTACACACGATTTCTTCCTTGCAAGTACTATGCCACAACTCCCGAACTTGCACGCCTTTTACACACCAGGCGGATTTGCGGCCACGACGTTCGGAAAGACATCGTCAGCGACCGTGACACTCATTTTATGTTGGCATTTTGGACCTCCCTCATGAAAGAGTCCGGCACCGAAATGAAACCAAGTTCGGCTCGGCATCCGCAAACGGACGGGCAGACAGAGCGGGCACATCAAACCGCTCAAGTGATGCTTCGCACACTCATCCGTACGGAGAAGGATTAGGTTGACCGCCTCCTCGACATCGAATTCGCCTACAGCATTTCTTTGCACCTGGCGATCGGCGTGACTCCATTCGAGTTGCACCACAGTGGCAGGAAAGGTCGTATCTTCGCTGATCTTCCATTTCCAAGGACTGCCGACATTGATGCCGCTTGTTCTCCCGCCTCCGTTCAGAAGTATAGGGACTTGCTGGCCAAAGCCCGCGCCAACATGCAAAAGGCTCAAGTCCGCATGCAACAGCAAGCTAATAGGCGTCTCGTGCCATGCCCTGTCCACGCTGGCGACCTTGTTTGGGTCTCTGGAGGAGTTTGCGCTCGAACAAGATGTATCCCGCAAACTACTTCCAAAGCGGTTTGGACCATGGACCGTCACATCAGCCGCGGGCGATGAGCCCGATGGCCCCTCCTTTGTGATCGAAATCCCGCCGCATCTCACGATGCACCCGGTTTTCCACGCCTCCAAGCTGGCCACATATACCCCAGCCAAGAGCGACGACTTCCCGGGTCGACGATCGCTAGACCCTCCTTCCATGGATGGTCATCAGGAAGTCGACCGCGTCATCATGCATTGCAAACACGGCAACAAGCCAATGCAGTACAAGGTCACATTCAAGTGGTGTGACTGCAACGACACGCGATGGATTTCCCGAGCAGCTTTGCAAGCCTCCGCACCAGATATCTACGCCGATTATGAGAAGAAACGGCTAGCCACGGAAGCTGCACAGCCTCCCACCCGGACTTTAGTCCCTCCCTCCAACAGACAGCTTCGTCTGCGCGGGTAAGCTCGGTCTTTCAAGGAGGGGGGAGTGTGGCATACTCAGTCCCACACGGGCCCAGCAGGGCCCGGCTAGGTAGACTAGGGGTCCGTAGGTATAGGGTCGGCATCGTTTCAACCCTCGGCAGGGTCCACAGGGTCGGTAGGCCGAGGTTAGGCCGAGTAGGACCGGTACCAGTTAGAGGCCCGGTAGGCCTCGTTTTGGGTAAAGGCCCTGGCGCGCGTTTTGGCGCCAAGGCCCTGACTTTGAGGCCGCGCCGTTTCGGTAGGCGCTGGAGCAGCCTCAGTTTGGGCTCCAAACTTTTGAGGCCCAGCCTCAGTTTGAGCGCCAGGACTGAGCGGTTGAGGCCGACCCAGCGCTACATATAGCTGGGTCCGGCCTCAGTTCCTCATTCTTGAGTAGAGGATCAAGGAGGCATACTCTGGATGACAGTAGCGCAGTAGTAGTCGATGATAGGACTAGTCTCCAGCGCTGGGCTCTGATAGAGTAGAGCAGCGCAGGGAGGGAGAGATGGTGATGGCGGCCTGAGGACTTACCTGAGACTTAGCTGCGTAGCTATTGCTCCAGCTTCGTCTTCAGCACGTCCGCACCTGCATCAAGGCACCACCTTTCTCAGGTCAGTACTTGGTATAGCGGGAGAGAGAAAGAGATCTTCTTCTTCCTCTTCTTCCTCCAGTCCACCACCTTCTTCTTCCCCTCCCGGCGCTCTGCCTTCTTCGGCTATGTGTGTGTGTGTGTGTGTGTGTGTGTGTGTGTGTGTGTGTGTGTGTGTGTGTGTGTGTGTGTGTTTGTGTGTGTGAGAGAGAGAGAGAGAGAGAGATTGACAACACTTGGGATTTGGACTCGACATTGGGCAGAGACCTTGGGGGGACTGTTTGGGATTGACATCATCAACATTTGAGTTGACGACATTTTCATTTCTTCCCCTTCTCCTTCGTCTCTTCCCCCTCCTCCTCATCTGTGTATGAGTTGGGCCTGGCACCTTCGTCCTGGCGTGCAGTGCCAGGCCATTCACACCGTGTGATGATGATGATGTATGTTCAGTCTGCATTTCGACATTGATTGGGTCTGATCATTTGTATTCCGGCCTCCCGCTGTACTATCCTGTTCTATCTGTGAGAGGTCGGTTCTTGGTTCTGGTTTGTACCATCTCGGTATGCGACACATACCCCCAAAACTCCCTCGTATCACCCAATTCTGCCCCACCCCAACACCAGAGAGACCCCTCAAAACCAAACAACAGGAAACTCTCAGCGGATTTGGGCTGTTCACAACAGCCCCGGTCTCAGAATTAAAAAAATTTCAGCTCACTGCCCTCTGCTGACCGTTTGGTGGTCAGCATCGCTGTCGGCTGGAAAACTACGCTGCTCAGGAGACAATATGGGCATTGGGCAGAGAATTGAGTCACACGCCAGCCAGGAGGAAACACGAATCGAAGACGAACCCTGCCCCTTCAATCATACACAGTCGAAGGAAGACAGAAGGCAAAGAGCAGGAAGTGAGGGTGAACACAAAGCCAGACTATGGCAATACTGATAAAATAATCCCACTCTCTCAAGTTGTGTCCTCTTCCTATCAATTCCTCCAATGAGAGCAGCGCCCTCCGAAAATTGTACCACAACCAGGTTTCAATCCCTCTCACAAAGGAGGAGGAGGAGGAGGAGGAAGAAGAAGAAGAAGAGGAAGAGAAACTCTCTCTCTCTCTCTCTCTCTCTCTCTCTCTCTCTCTCTCTCTCTCTCTCTCTCTCTCTCTCTCTTGTGCTTGTCAGAAATTGGACGAAGTCTCTGCTCACAGTATTTGAAACTCAGAACAAAAAGGAAGCACTGCAGAAACGGGCAAGCCAAAGGTACAAAAATAAAAATAAGGGCAATGGAGAGGCCGAACTGCCGGTTGGTCCAAAATAATGGTCAGCGATTAAGGTGCAGAGTTGCCCACCCAAAAAAGCTGCCTGGGCCCTCTGCCCGGTTTGGCCAGGTTCCTGACATGCCACATGCAAATTTCTCTGGTCCAGAATGTGCTGCTGTGCAAATGTAAGCCCCTATGTGCAAGCAAGGATTTGAGGGCTGGCTTCCTTTATTTTTGGCTCTCCGCATGTCAATTATTTTGGTACTCTTGACAGCTGATACTTGCGTACGTGCTCTCGTTGAAGTACCAAGTGCTTGTGTGTTCTGCTGTTCCATTTGCTTCCTTCGTATGTGCAAGAGTGTGCACTGTGGCGTAGGTAATATGTGGCAAAGTGTGCGGTGCAGTGTCGATTATGACTTCTATTCTATTGTGCGAGTGCATGCGCCTTGATGCAGACCGCTCGCTTTGATGGTTGACAGGCTCCTGCTCTTCTGCTGTGGCGGTTTACGTTTCTCAGAACTCTTCCGTTTTCCTTTCTTCTTCCATTTCCTGTAACTGACTGCAGTTCAAACCTTGCTTTCACAGGTGGGTGTTGTTGACTAGTGCAAACCTAAGCAAGTGGGCATGGGGCGAGCTGGTTAAGAAGGATACGGACCTGAAGGTTTCAAGTTTTGAGGTAGGTGTTCAACTCTGCAATTCCAAAGGCTCATCATTCTTGTTCCCTACACAGTGTGCACTGATTTCCACAGCCCGGTGAATGAGACCATCATTTCCTACTATCCTTTTTCACCCTTGGCTGGCAGGTGCAAGGAAGATGAGCAACAGCGAACTTCAGCAATCAAACAGCATCATGCACATAAGACCAGATAGTCGTGACCTCGAACCAACAGCAGAATTGCATCACGAGTTTTACCAAATAAGAACACACCAAGAGCTCATAATTGACAATGCTGAAATAGTCCCATCATCATTATCAACGTATCTGGTGCTCGGCGCCCAGACTACAGATGGCAGATCCTATCTAGTCGATACTACAATGCCGAAGATGACGACAACAGCTCTCCCGAAGTACGAGCAGATAGCGGTCAATGCCGCACGTTTCCAGCACCAGGTATGTCTCTCGCTTCACTCACAACCTCGTTCCCCAACACACGGATGTCTCATGCACCCAAGGACCACCCTGCACCACACCCAGCTCACAGCAGCGCAGCTCGGCCATGGCTGCCTGCTCCTTCCTGCTCGCCCATGAGCGCGTGAGCGCTAGCCAGCTTCAGCGCAGCAGCGCTTGCGCAGCATGCAGCCAGCACCCGAATGTCAAATGCGGAGGCAGGCCCTTTGCTATATGGAAGTGGCCTGCCTGCGTTCTGTCCCAGGCTGCGCTGGGCCTTTCCCAAGAAGCTTCCGGTAGGCCCCGGAAGACTGAGGCCCAGACCAAACGAATTGGCCCAGGGCTGCCGACAGTTACCTGTGCCCAACTGCCCGCAACCTGAGTTGGGCCTGTGTTGCAAATCTCGCCCAGGGCCTGACTCAGGTGCATTTGATAAAGTACGCCAGGGCCTGTGCGCTTCCAACCAACTGGTGCAGTGCAACTGCCTGAATTTCCCCAGTTGCGAAGTAGTCCAAAATAGGCCTCTGAGGGTCTGTCGGACCTGCCTTCACTTAGGGCGGCCGACTCTGTTGCAAATAGGGCCCAGTGGGGCTTATCGAGGCCTTGTGCCTCGCATTCCCTCCTCCATAACTTCGCTAGTCCTCTGAGAAGTTCAGTCTTCAATAATCTGGCGCTTTCCTTTCTGTAAAGACTTCTCATATTGGGCGACTACCTGTGGAGCTGTAGCGGACCCACCAGGTGTGGTGCTCCGCTAGTGGTAGAGATGGAGATGGAGGAAGAAGGGGGGAGCGAGATGGCACAAGGCAGCTCCCCACGCAAGACTCCAACGCACGTACTCCAAAATGTGCAAGTGAAGAATGACTCGGAAACAGACAAAGGCTGGGGTATACCCCAGCGGACTGACGGGACTGGACTGGACTGGCTGGTACCGACAGAGGTACCGGGCTGGACTGGACTGCCCCGAATAAAACACAGGCCTGTGAGAACAGGCCAAGGGGGTGGTCTCACAGGCACAGGCCTACCAGAGGTCGGCTACACGATCCTCGACCTGTGATGGATCGCCTAGATACAAGCACGCTTCCGCCAAGAAGCGGAACTTTACCAAAGAAAAAGAAAACCTGAGTAGTCTAGGATGCGGAGCGAGCTCCATGCTGAGTCCATGCGATGCAACCTAGGCTAGAAAATGTCACAAAACAGCAAATGTCACAACTAACAGCCTAAGTGAAAGCAGAAACAACTAACTAGCATACATGTCCTAGGAAAGCAGAAACAACTAACTAGCATACATGTCCTAGGAAAGCAGAAGTAGTGACAACTAGATCCTAGAATGTTGGAGGCAGTAGCCTCGGTCTGGTAACAGTTGACTAGTGTATAAGTCCTAAGAACAGCAAAAGCAGAACAGCTAAATCCTAGAAATGTCAGAGGCAG